ATCAATATGTGTGCCCCTACGGAGAGTCGCGCCGAAACACAGTCGGCGACCGACCGGAAGAGCAGCTGCAGCCCCAAGACTACCGCACTGCTGTGCACCTGGCCTCGTGTATAACGTTTACACTGGGTGTACCCAGCATTTTTCGGCCGTGGGACATAATATATACAGGAGGGTGATGCGTTGCTTGGGCCCTTTAACCGACTACATAATATTATATACAAACGTGAACCAGAGGACATCCAGGATTTTCCTCTTCCATCCCCGGGGGAACCGCTCGTTTGGAATCTTACGTGCTCACCTCCGATCCGCAGTCGTCCAACATTATTCATCATCGTATACGATGACGCGTGTGCCCCTGTATAAGCGCGGGTTAATTTTACACTTGCATACGCGGTGCGCGACCTTGCCACGCAACACGAAACGCTGTTTCCCACGCGCGAAATTAATGCTCCCCACCGACATCAATCGCAACTGTGTCTACATCAAACGCGTTTCCTTCTTCGTTTCCGTAGAATAGCCTGGGCGAAAATGTAACGCCGCGGCCGTCGATTAGGTTAATATATGCATATGCACGTGAAGGACGCGAGGAGGGTTGGATTGCGGATGAATGATTAACGACGCGCGAACTCTCGAGCCGATTCTCCGGTGAGTAGGAGGAAAAAAAAAAAAAAAAATTCGATTCGGCTCGCCGTGAGAAGAGGAGGAAAGCAAGAAGGTCAAGGTGCGAGTCATCACTCCGGCTCGCACATTCGCAAAAACCGCACCGAGAGAAATCGAGGGGAGAGAGAGCTTATCTAATCGATTATATTGAGTTAGGTGTATGATGCCTGCGCGTATATGTACCTACTCCACGTTTCAAGCGCAAAAAGGTAAACACGCGCTTGAGAGTTATTGGTTGAGAAATCGGACGGCTGTACCTATGTGTGTATGTGTGTGTGTGTACTCTATCGCGAGAGTGTTATGGATCGATCGCGTCACCTGCCGCTCGATGTGATTCATCCGCGCTCGTGTACACGTACCGCATGTGCAGTAAAAAAAAAAAAAAAAAAAAAACGTGAATCTTCCTTGAGAGCATCAGACGATGCTGGTGATTTAACTATATACGTTTGCGTTTCTAGTATCGATTCCGCCAACCGCCACAGTGAGATCTGATTTGGAGTTGTTTCGTGTAGCGTGTGCCATTGGTCAATTTGTACCTTTTTTCTGGAAAACGACGCTTTAGTACTGCTCTTTCCTACTGCATATTACAGGAGTACACGGTAGTTATACGTATCGATCGGTTGCTCGCGTGTTGTTCGTGAGATTAAGAAAAAAAAAAAAAAAAGGCTGGTAAAGCCGGTAAAAGAGTATATATTATATATACGAGATTGCTAAAATAAGTACTCTGTGGATTCAAAAGAATCAACGAGTCAGCGATTATAATCAAATACCGATCAAATGTGTCGTTTGGGGGTTTTTTTTTATTCTAGTCCATAGGAAAAAGAAAAAAAAAATTGGAAGTCAGTCGAAAGAGATGTAGATGCAAAAGGGGATCGTATAAATAGCCAGAGAGAGTAATACCCACGTTTTCGGGGGGATCAATAGCCTCATATTCAAGGGAGCGACTGAGCCAAAAACGATCAGACTCGGTCTTACAGAGATATCACGTGGTACATAAGAAGGAAGAGGACGAAAATGAATATTGGCACTTGACCAATTCCGCGATAAGGAAATAAGAGCCAATTCTCCCCACAGCGGGGCAAGAAACTCACGACTCTTCCAAATACCATTTGAAAAACAGATTGGTGCCACTATATATCTCGCGTTTATCCCCTATATATACATATTTCACATACATCTGCCTTTTTGCACGCGAGTATGTGAGGTACATTATTTCGAAGACACGTTGCCCATCAACAATATACAAGTTACCGAGTGGAGGAACTGGTTACTAAAAAAAAGTAACTATAGTACTCTCGCCGATCCCAACGATACTTACCATAGAGTCGCTCGAGCGTGCGGGAGTATAGGTGAGCTTTTGTCTCTGACGGCTGCCGTTTGGCATTACCGCACGACCGGTCTCGCGATGAGTCACTCTTTGGCCGCTATAAACCTGCTGGCAACTGTATTCTTTCTTTTTTATTATTATTTTTTTTTTTTTTTTTTATTGGAAACGTATAGGGGTTCCAACAACATGGCACTGAAAACAGTGACAAGGCGAGTAGGGAGTGTACCTCTCCTGGGACGAATTTGGAGTGTTTCGGAGGTGCAATTGATTTACAAAAACCATTAACATCATGGGGTCGACGGGATTGATGTGTCAAAAATGATGGCATTAATTTTTCATCTAAAAAGTTTCCTTTGAAAATTGACAAGTGGATGGAACTTGGAAACTCCTTGTTTTGTCATTGATCTGCGGGTAACGGAATTTAAAAAATACCCAACTACTCGGGAGCGAAGAAAATGAGTACGAACGTGGTCGTGTTTACCAAACAGCCAAAGAGAAAGAAAGAAAGAAAAAAAACTCGGTTACTTCCCTCTGCTCGTCTTTCTCCCCGTACTTATTCCCCGAGTCGTAAACGACAAACAATAACGGCGTCTTGTACACACGCACATACAGCCGGTGCAGGCGATTGTGCAATCGACTTCGACCCGCGGTTGTTATGGTACAACTGAAAGTGTAATTCGTTCGAAGGAAAAATAAAGGGAACAATGGAGGACGCGACCAAGCTACGTATTTATACGAAGAAAAGTGGTCGTCTAATTTTAGATCGATATTTGCGCGGGGACGAGCGACTCTTCCAACAGACGATGCGGCCTTTTACGATGGAACAGGATAAATCGGTGATCTATTGCGAAAATATGTCCACGATCATCAGTGGAAATCTAATTACTTGGAAGTATCGAGCAATTGTTGAGAGAACAAAGTGCATCGCACGTGTACCAAAGAGTGGAGCACAATGAATATGTGATTGTGAGTTGCTTCGACAGAAAGGTATACATCATCTCCGATCCCTGCTACGTTCGCGTCAAAACTGGACGACACCGTTTACAACGTGGTCACGACTTTTTGCCCATCCACCGGTCACGCAGGAAAATCTCGTCCCACCGGATTGTGCTAACGGTCTCGTTCTTCCTCTCCCGGAGAAAATGGCGATCTTTCTACTTTTTTCTTTTCTTTTTTTTTTGTATCTCCCTCGTAAGAATTCAAGAAAGCCATCAACCCCGTTTCGTTTGTCAAGTTATGACAGTCCTTCTCTTCTGTAAACTCTTTATTGTTTTTTTTTGTCACTAACGCGGTGCGTGTACCAGGGAAATCGCGCTCGAGAAATCGAGGCATCGATAAATCAGCTGGATCTGCAATTAAAGGGAAAGTCCAGCGAGTAAACGATGGCAATTGCCGTTGTTTTTTTTTTCCCCACTTTTCGTCGCGCTCGCATGTGCAGCCGCCGAGTTTCTAATGATAAGTAACGGCCGTGAAACTTTCATCTAGATTTCTTAAGCGACCCATATGCAGGTGTCAAATGAATTAAACGTTTTATCCTCGTCTCGTCTCTGGTATGACTTTTCAATTTCAATCCACTCAACGAGAGTATGACTACACATATAGGTACTCATCATCAGCCAATTGTACATCATATGGCTCTATTTAATAGTACATATTGAACCAAAAGTGTTTCATCCGGATGAAAAGAAAATGTACCAAAGGTAGATTGTATTTTTACTCGAAGCACAGCCTCCACCGTACTTATACCTCCATTTTCCGTTTATCCAAACCAAACGTCAACCCGAGCTCTCGTGTGAACTTTTCGTGCCCATTGTGCGCCTCTCGTCTAACAAGAAACAGCTGACTTTCCTCCCGCGGCCTCTTTTTTTTTCCCCCTCCGGTGCACAGCTGCCGTAAAGCACCAGTTCTCTGTGCTCTCGACAAGATAGCATCCGCGTTTCTTCCTCTTTTCTTTCGAGCTTATACGGGCGTGACTATGTGCATGTGGGAAAAGAGGTTTTCACGCGACTTTAATTACTCGGGTGTGTGTCGCGCGTTTCCCTTTGTGTCCCTAATGTCTTTTTATCATAGTTTTGCATCGTGACTCGTGTTTGACGATCTCCAGATGTATCGAGGAAAAAAAAAAAAAAAATAGTGTGTTTCTAAGGATGATCTTTGCTTCCCTTCCTGAAAGCCAAGTCAGGCGAGAAGGCTCTTTACGCAGTGGACCGTCCGAGGGACGCTCCGCAGCTCGCGAAAGCAGGTACACGCGCGAGAGATCGATGACGCTCTTACGTAAGGAAGGGAAGGAGGTGAGGAGCCGGTGACAAAGGGAATCTGGAGAATTGGGCTGTACTTTTGTGGTGACAATTTTTTTCCTAAAACATTTGGACCAAATAACTGATAGTAAAAGTGAATTTTCTTTCGAAGCGGGTATACCGGGAGATAAAGATTTGTTGGTCGAGCTACGTGATTAATCTTCGTCGCTCGTCAATTTTCATCATCTCCCGTTTTCGTCAACACGCAGAGTGAAAATAAATTTGTCTCTGCTTCTCGCCTGTCACGTTACTCGCACATGTTATTAACTTGCAGCTCCCGGGATCCAGGAAATTTATAACACGAGGCTTGGTTATCTCTTTGCTACCGTTTACCTATACCGACTAAGGATTGAAAAGTGAATCCCCCCCCTTTTTTTTCAAGCGGTGAGAAGCAATAAAACTTTGTGCGTCCGACAATTCGATCGACAATATACTTGTAGCAATAACTATGTATTATTAGAGTTGCAAAAGGCAAAGGACGAAATTGCAGAGCTACAGGTCCAGCCAGCGAATTTCCAAGCAAAAACCGTACGCGTAACCGCCAATATACAAAAGTGACGCCACACTCGACCGCAACTACGAACGTCCGTCTTGCCTCTACAATCTATGGGTACATATAAAAACTCCCGTCTCGCAATCCAGCCGCAAAAACTCCGAAACGAGAAAAATGAGCACCACGAGGGAAAACAAAAGTCGTACGAGTACGCAAATCTCACCTGCGACAGTAGCTTGGGCAGCGTGTGATTGTGCGAGTTCCTCTCGGCGTTGGCGCTCCTCTGCTGTTGCTGGCTAGCCTCCGACCTCAGGTCGTGCCTCCACCTCAGTACACCCATCATGACCACCACTTTACTCAACCCAAACGCCCCTTATTGACGACTCTTCACCAACCCCCCTTTTGTTTCCCTCTCTCCCCTGTACGTATATCTCCGATCACTCGCACCAGTTACAACGACACATCAGCTGTTCTTCTTTAGTCCGGCAAAAAGCAATTGGTCCGCAGCTGCGTGCGCGAAACATATGCGGTGGTTGTACACCACACGGCGACGAACGCTCGTCGGGCCCCCGAAACGAGAGCGCGATCGTTCGAGCACAGGTTGGCCACAGGGGGAGAACCGGTTACGCCAGCGCCAACGAACAAAAGGCCCCCCTCGACTGCGCTACGTATATACTATATACACTGTATATTTACTGTTCCTCCTGCACCAAAGCACTATCCGAAGATTATTTGTATGCGTTCGTATTCGCGGATGGGGGATAAAAAAAAAAAAGAGGCAGCCCAGCGGGAATATATTACTTGGCACACCATCCGCGGCTTTCACTCCACCTACGCGGCGCGGCTTTCTCTGCTGCTCCTCGATCGGTTCAGGCGACTTCGATTGTCGTTGCGTACTTTCGTCGTGGGCTCAGCTTGCACCTCGGATGGAAGATCGGACGAGCGGCCCCGCATTATCGTCCCCCCCCCTCCTCTCTCCAATCGGGGGTGGATAAGCGTATATGTATATATTGATGATACAATAGACGCGCACCAACACAGAACGAGGGATTAAATGTATGTACTTTTGCGCACAAAATGTTCGTACCACCGAATCGCGTAGCCGTGCAGGCGGTTGGCAGTGGCGGTGGCAGCCCAAGCACCTCGAGGTCAAAATAGAAAGTCCGGCCGCGGCTCTCCGGCGCGAGGTGGTATACGTGGGCGTGCTATTGACGAAGTTGGAGAGAGAAAGGGCCGCGCGAGTCGGCGAGGGAAGAAAATAGATGAGAATAGAATGGACCGCGTATGTATACTCGGGCGGCGATGGTCCGTTGACGGAGGAAAGAAGAATAACAAAAAAAAAAAACAAAAACAAAACAAGAGGCTCGAGAGCGTGGGTGTGTAGAGAGTGGCGGCCCTCGCGCCGTCGAGGCAAAAGCGCAACTGACGCTGCGGAGGCTTGCCAACGGCACGGAGAGCCGGCTTGTGTGGTGGAGCGTTTGGAGCGGAGTTGCGGGGCTCCATCTCTCTTTCTCTCTTTGTTGTACGGCGCTGGCTGCCGAGAGCAGAGGCATATATAGTAGATATATAGTATGTACGCGAGGCAGTTTTATTTCGGTTTCTGCACAGGGAAAATGATTTATTTATTATTATTATTTTTTTTTTTTTCCGGTGATTAAGTTCATTTAGTTTAATGGACCCTGGAATATTGATTCGACCATTGGCACAAATCATGAAAATTTATTCGTGCACTGGTTGAAAATTTAGTGGTGTTTTTATTTACAATTGAAATTGGATCAAAACTGAAGGGGAAGTCAATTGAAAAGTATGAATCGATTGCCTCTGAAGCAATTACAAGTTTGGAACTTTGCGCTTGTCGCATTGGATTGTTTTATGGAAACTATATGATGCGTGTACGTATCGCTTGGAAAATTAAATGCAGTGGATTAACAGTAAACTCATATATCATACGGAGTAGCGAGTGTGTAGTGAGCAAAAATTGCAATGTAAGAACATATACCGTGAGTTTCGCAAGATGTCATCGAGAAAATTATCACAAACAATGTTACATATTGTCATAAATGTGTCTATGCAGGTATACACATATAAAAACGGTTACGAGATGAAATAACTTTGATTTTAAACCAAATAGTATTTCAAAACTGAATGACAAACGCGTTAAAGGACTAATTGAATCAGTATATCCAAACATCATTTCGTGCTCGAATTCATTGTCCCAAACGGAAAAATGGCCTCGACGAGGCTACTTTCATTTCACACGTAATACCCCCACACAAGCCGCAAACACACAAACTAAAGCTCTAGGCTGATTTCGTACAAAGAAGGGCCCATACGAGGCTACCATCTGTAAATTTCCGTGCACGGCTCGGTTTTTCATTTCGCGGACGGCCAGCCACGGCTGTGGGCAAAAGGAGCGGATCCTCCTCTCCCTCCACACCACCATCACAGACCCGTGCGTCCCACGAGAGAGAGAGGAATAAAAAGCCGAATGAGCACGCTCGTGTGTGTCCGTGCGACTAGCTTCGAGGATAATGATATGTGTGTGTGTGTGTATCCTAAGCAGTAGCAGCTGCTATATAAATATACTCTCTACGCCCCGCGTAAACTTTTTTCCTCTCGTCACGAGTTTTTCTCTTTAATCTCGTCTTCTCTCCTTTTTCCAGGGAAAGCTCGCGATCGAAGGCGAAGATCAAAGGTGATGGGATTAATCATATGTGTATTCCTCGACTATACGATCCTTGGACTGGCTAATAAAAAAATCACCCAAAATCGACACTCGTGACTGCACAAAGCTAATACCCTGCACTCGAGGAAAAAAAAAGAAAAAAAAGAGGAGTGTGGCACACGTGGATGATGCTCTTCGAGAGGAAACGTCGAAACCCAAAGTAACTTCAGAGCTACGAGGTGCAACCCGACCCGATCCTCCTTTCGACTCTGGCCCGCCCCTCTCTGTCTCTCCTATATGCCTTGGTTTGGAGAGAAAAAAAGGTGGTGGTCGCACGCGCGATAGATCGGTTTTGGTGGCGAGGCCGATCTTTCCGGTCCGGGTACAGCTCGAGGATATTCTTGGGAATCGAGGATACGCTGTTGTAGCGTTCCTTGCTGAGGAAGGGAAAAAATGACAGGTGACGCCGGAAACGAACGAGGGGCTGGATTACAGGGGGAGCGGGAAAGGACTCGGCACCCGATGTTTGTTTACAGGGAGAAATGGGAAAGCAAAGAGGATGTGAGCCGTTGATTCACCAAAAAACACATTGAGCAAACAGATAATTAATTGGTGCTCGTAACACATTTTCTTGAAAATTTTCCAGCTAAAAAAAAACAAAAAAACAAAAAAAAAGGTGTTAACTGGTTGTTTCCTCAAATATTGCGCAACGAGTGTGTATATACATGTGAAAAAAAAAAAGATAAACAAACTTGAAAACGTTCCTTAGTCAAGATGGATCCACGAGAACTCGCCCTTTCCTCTTATTCTTGTTAGAGTTAACGTACTTTTCGACAGCCACGTAGATGATAAGAAAAAGGAGATCCGTACAAGACAACGTATACCTATAACCCGGCATGTAAATATACCTGTACAAAAGGGAGCCAGGTAAAGAAAAAAAGGAAGAAAAAGCGGCGCACCGCACACAGAGAGAGAGAGAGAGAGAGAGAGACCGGGTCACAATGCCGTGGTGCTGCCGAGAACAGCGTATGTATATTTACAACAATGCAAGAAGAAAAGAAGAAGAGCGAGCCAAAGGAAGAGAGGAGGCGGATGTCATTTCGTGGTCGACTCGTTTCACCGGCCTCCTCGCAGACACAAACACACACGCGAGTCGGCACTGTTCTCCTTTTTCATCTCTTTTGTGTCACTTGCGCGGCTCCACGGAATTTTTCCTCCTTCCTGATACAACGTGGGAGGTAATACACGCCCGATCGAATTTTTCGCGAAAACGCGTCTATAATATATACCTACACTAACGCATTGTCTTTCCCGAATAGAAACTTACTTGGATTTCCTCGCGTGCAACACGATGTTATAGGCATCACCCATAGGTGTCATATTCTTCTACTCTTCCTCTGCCTTTGTGTTTCGTCTCGGCTAAAGTAGGTATACTTAATACCCTAATGGCAGGACTCGCGACCAACTCGCCGATTTCCCCTTTCGAAAAGGAGGTCGTCTCCGTCGTACGCACAATAGATCCCGCATGCACACCGAGGGGCCTTTTATGTGTGCCGTGGGCACGGCCTTTTTCATACACAGTATATATATTATACACCCAATTAGACGTTTTTGCGAAGAGAAAACTCTCCATCGAGTCATAAACGCGGGAATTTTGCGTTTCGTTTTTTCCTCCGCCTCGGCTTTAATTGCATTTCCAAGTTTGTACAGGTGAATCGGAGAATATGATGGCAAAATTTATTTCTGACGTGAAATTAAATACACCCGCGTTCTGCTTGTGCTAGAGATGCCGATCGCAATCTTTTTGTATATATGGCTCGTTAGGCGAGATGAGTCTATACTTTGCTCCTTTATTGATACATTTGACATTAACCTACTTAACGGACACGCCTTGGTGTCTCGGAAAGAGGCTATACTCTCGAGAACACGCATCGAGCGCGCATTGGTTGTCGATTTATCGTGGAAATCGCGATTTTCCCACGTTTTCCGTCTTTCCAAGCATCAATCTACATCTTATACGTAACATCGAAACAGTACTATTTTGCACAACAATCTCCTTGACGAAGCACACACCAACTCAACATTATTACCTTTCGATGCAACGAACCGCCCGAAATAGGTGCATGTGTGCATACAGATGTACCTTTACCTCGAAAATATCATGAGGTATATAACACGCAGAGGTCGTCTATCGGCCTGCCGTACTGTGACCGAGACCATCGTGCGGAGCAATACGTATTTGTCATCATATGTTATACATAGCAGCAGCTAAACTTTCGAATTATGGGCACGTACATATACTTGATCGCATCCATACCGATCGCCGAAATCGAGCTCGACACGCAAGAGCGGCACGCAAAGGTAGGACCGTCTTTTCCACGTGAGACGCATTGCATCGCACTGCCATCAGTGTAGAGGAATATTATTAATAGTACATCAGTTCCACTCGTACTTTGTTAATATTTTCCAAATTTTATCAATCACGATTTACTTCATACGTCCATACACTTTAAATCGGTGAAATTGTTGGTTGGTAAATGTGTGATCATTTTTTTTTAACTGCCACCAAAACAATTGATAAGTATATACGTGGATGCGAGTTTAGCGAGAGTACTTAATCTTATCACCTAATTACTAATTTTCCAATACCCTGTATAAATATTTTTTTTCCTTGTTTATACCTTATGTTGTTTATTATGCTTTGCTTTACCTTCTAATTACAAGTTGTTTTTTTTTCCTCCTACCTTTATTACCTTGTTAATTTTTTTTATAAATATTAGAATGGTTTTTTCCATACCTATGACACAACTCGGCTCTTATTGCCTATGACCTTCTCTTTAGCCTATATGAGACGAGATATATGGTTCGTATTGGTAATCGACGCGTCAATGGTAATAATGGCAGAGGGTTTACCGCACCAATGGTATAATTCTGCAGCACCACTATAGTGGATGCTGAACGAGCACCGAGCTGCTACTTATTGCTGCAATACTTTGTGATGCAGTTTTATACCAATCGGTATCAGACGTTCATTTGCTTTTTCCTGTTTTGACCTCTATATATTTGTATGCATATCTATAAAACAGCTCAGCCATTTTTCTTCTGCCTTTACAACTAGCATCCGTATACTACGACTCGCCTCAGGATGATATTTACGACCATCACACGATGTCAGCAAGAGCCAGGTAGCCGGTTTTCAATGGATGCTCTCTTACGGAGACCATGACTACGATGTTGCCGGCGCTAAGAAATGATTGGTGTCCCTAAAACCAAACTCTGAACAAATGCACAGCGTGAAACAAAACATGTTACAAAGACAGCGGGGCGTCGAGTAGTGACGTTTATGGCTCCGAGGTCCCTAAACCAGCGTAGACAATGGGGTTGCTGTACAGTCACTCAACAATACCAAAGCCCGTTTCGACCAATCCTACGAGATCTGCGAAATCCAGGAGCAAGATGCATCGGAAAAATTAAACGTTACTCTTGAGCGCTCTTTTTCAGAGAAGACTGTGAGCTTCCTTAGATTAATACTTGCCATCCCTGCCGATGACCTATCGAAACCCCACTCGAGTGCCAACTACTCCAAGTTTTCTTTTTTCGCTCTTCCTTGTCAATGATAAATAACAATAACATTTACTTCGTACGCGTACAGTTACAACAAACAAGCTGGCACATTCATTACGTGCTATCCAGCCACGACCTTGTCCATAAAGAGGAAGCAAACATCTGGA